GGGTGGGGTGCTCCTTCGCCGCACACAGGCCCAACCTGTCTGGCAGCCACCTACCTGCTCACCTGAACAGGTGGGAAAGGCTCTCTGTGTTCCCGCTGCGGGCCCCTCCTCCCCCCCTTGGCGGCAGGTAGGCAGTGTCCTCACCTGGCCTCACCTGAGCAGACCCCCATCTCTCTCTCTCTCTCTCTCTCTCTCTCTCTCTCATCTCGCCCCACCTCTTTCTGGCTCAGGAGTGTGCCCACGAGGCAGGCCGCCGCCATTGTACCTGAGCCAGGTGGAAACACCTTGGGAGGCAGGTGAAGGGCAGGCCTGCTTCCCAGGCCTGCCATAGAGAGGTGGGAGGGGCCCCCAGAGGACTAGAATACTAGTTCGAAGGGATCCCCAGAGGGCATCTAGTCCAGTCCATTCTGCCTTAAGGAAGGCACCATCCGATCCCTCCTGGCAGGTGGCCATCTAGCCATAGGTATCATGAGATAGAAACACTATATTCTGTGACATACCTATTATAAAATACTACTTGGAAGGGACCCCCAGAGGGCATCCAGTCCAGCCCATTCTGCCTTAAGGAAGGCACCATCCGATCCCTCCTGACAGATGGCCATCTAGCCATAGGTATCATGAGATAGAAACACTATATTCTGTGACATACCTATTATAAAATACTACTTGGAAGGGACCCCCAGAGGGCATCCAGTCCAGCCCATTCTGCCGTAAGGAAGACACCATCCGATCCCTCCTGACAGATGGCCATCTAGCCATAGGTATCATGAGATAGAAACACTATATTCTATGATATATCTATTACAAAATACTAGTTTGAAGGGACCCCCAGAGGGCATCTAGTCCAGCCCCCTTCTGCCCTAAAGGAAGTCACCATCCGATCTCTCCCGACAGATGGCCATCCAGTCATAGGTATCATGAGATAGAAACACTATATTCTGTGATATACCTATTATAAAATACTAGTTTGAAGTGACCCACAGAGGGCATCTAGTCCAGCCCCCTTCTGCTGCATTTGAAGTCACCATTCAATCCCTCCCGACAGATGGCCATCCGGACATGGATATGATAGATAGACATCCGCTTCTGCCACAAAGGAAGGCACAATTCAATCCTTCCCGGCAGATGCTAGAAGAGAAGAGAGAGGCTCCACGAGGCTCCCAAACTGATGTTATGCTAGAATTGGGACCCAAAAGGCCATCTAGACCAACCCCCTTGTATATATTATGTATGCCTTGGGCTGCACCCGTGATGCATAACGAGCCCACTTTATTTTGGTTCCATGCAGTGGAGTGAAGGGGGTTGTGGTTGCGCAAGGGTTGTTGTCGCTGCGACGGCGTGAGGCATGACACCCCTTCCTTCGAGGTGGGCTTGTGGCCTGCACTGATTGCAGCGGAAGAGGGAGGCGAAGGAGGCCGGCTTCCTGTGCGAACCACTTGAGAGGGGCCCGGGGGGCCACGCGGGGCCCTGCAAACCGCCCTCCACCTCCGCACAGAAACCTCACGTCTTGCAGAAGCAGCAGCAAAGAGATCACATACGTGTTGACGTTCACCTTTTAAGTAGGCGACTTCATTCACTGCACTCGAGTTGCATGGCATAATATTAATAGTATTTATTTGTTTAAATATTATATTATATTAATTTAAATATTATTTTGATATAATACTTATATTATATTAATATTATTAATATATTAACATTATATTTATTTAAATATTATATTTATTTAAATATTATATTACTATAATATTATATTTATATTAGATTATATTAGTATCATATTATTTTTATTTAGATATTATATTATATTTACTTAATATTATTTTAATATAATATTTATATTATCTTATATTAATATTATTAATATTATTAATATTATTTTATTTATTTAAATATTATATTTATTTAAATATTATATTGTATATTATATTTTATTATATTATATTATATTATTATTTTTAATTTATTATTATATTATTATAATATATTATTATTATAATTATATTAATATTATTATATATTTATTTATTTAAATTATATTTATTATTATTATATTCTATAATATTATATTTATATTAGATTATATTATATCATATTATATTTAATTAATATTTATATTATATTTATTAATATTATTATATATTATTTATATTATTATTTTATTTTATATTTATTATTTTAATTTTATTTATTTAAATATTATATTTATATTATATTTATATTAGATTATATTAGTATCATATTATTTTTATTTAGATATTATATTATATTTATTTAATTATTATATTTATTTAAATTATTTTAATATAATATAATATTTATATTATATTTATAATTATATTATTTTTATTTAAATATTATATTATTATATTAATATTATATTTATATTAGATTATATTATATATATTATTTTTATTTAATATTATATTTATTTAATATATTTTAATATATATTTATATTATATTAATATTATTATATTTTTTATTTATTTAAATATTATATTTATTTAAATATTATATTGCTATAATATTATATTAATATTATATTATATTAGTATCATATTATTTTTTATTTAGATATTATGTTATATTTATTTAAATATTATATTAGGTTATATTAATATTATATTATTATATTTTATGAATAGTTTTTTGTGTCAAGCATATTGATTAAAAAAATCAAATAACCTTAAAATACAATATAATGCATATCACATATCATTGCATCTCCCCGAATTGCTGATATTGTCCCCTACATTCCATACATTATGTCATATTCCAATGTTATGGTGAATTAATAATAACATGCCTATTGCTTATATTTATATAATATTATATTAATATAATAAAATATAATATTATATTAATAACATTATAATATTATATTAATATTATATTAATATTACATTATTATATTATGTGAACAGTTTTTGTGTCAATTATACTGATTAAAGAATAAAATAATCTTAAAATACAATATAAGTCATATCACATATTGTTGCATTTCCCTGAATTGCGGATATCGTCCCCTACATTCCATACATTATGTCATATTCCAATGTTATGTAGTTAAGGTGATACAATTCATTTCTTTTCTGTTCTGGTGAAATAATAATAACACATCTATTGCTTATATTAACATTATATTAATTATATTATATTTATATTATTAATTTTATATAATATAATATTTATATAATATAAATAATATAAATATAATATAATTAATTTATAATTATATAAATATAATATAATATAATTTATAAATAATATAAACATAATATAATTAATATAATATTTACATTATCAATATTATATTAATTACATTATATTAATAGTATATTAATATTAAATTAAATATCAATTTAGATGCCCTCTGGGGGTCCCTTCCAACTCTAGGATTTTATGATAGATATATTATAGATATAGGGAGTCCTTATCTTTGATGTGTTCTCTGGCATTGAAAGTGTATTTTGTTTTTCTGTAACTTTATGAATATTTTCCCAGCAATATAAGTGTTATTATTTTCCAAGAACACAACTGGCTTTCTCAATGTAAACAATGCAAGGGCTCCCCCCGCTGGCAAGAAGGCGAACTGCAAGAAGAGAGAACTCTCCTATCCAGAGGCATTCCTTCTGCTTCCCTGCACATGCTCAGAGGCATTCTAAGGTACCTTGAATTGTCCATTTTCAAAGGACAATGGGGATGATGGGAATTGTAGTTGTTCCCAACATGCAAATAAAGGGACCCAAGCGATTTTGAGCTGCGTTTTTTTTAAAAAAAGAAACATGACAAATATTGACACTTTTAAAAAGCAATTTAATCTTGAATATAAATAACCCAGAGCGTGTATTTCTCCAACAAAGGGCACCACAAACCGCTCTGGATCATAGACACGACACTGGGATTTGTAGTCCCAAACTCTCTCATTGGGTATAATAGCAATTTCCTTGGATTTCGGACCCATCTTGGTCATTTCTGGCATCTGTTTTTTCCTTCCTTCTTTCCCCTTCCCTCCTGCCTTCCTTCCTTCCTTTCCTTCCTTCCTTTTCCTTCCTCTTCCTTTCTTTCCTTCCTTTTCTTTTCCTTCCCTTCCTCCCCCTTCTCTTTCCTCCCTTATCTTCCTTTCCTTCCTTTTTTCCTTCCTTCCTTCCTTCCTTCCTTCCTTCCTTCCTTCCTTCCTTCCTTCCTTCCTTCCTTCCTCCCTCCCTCCCTCCCTCCCTCCTTTCTTTCTTTCTTTCTTTCTTTCTTTCTTCCTCTCCCCTTTTCTTCCTTCCTTCCTATTGTTTCCTTTCTCCTTCCTTTCCTACCCCTCCTCCTTCTTTCTTTCCTTCCTTCCTTCCTTCCTTCCTCCTTCCTTCCCTTTTCCTTTCCCTTCCTCTCCTTCTCCCTCCTTCCTAACGTCTACTGAACAAGCCAGTACCTGCCTCATACCAGTACTGCCATCTGTTGAGGAGTTACGAAGGTGGAGGCATTTCTTCTCATTCAACCTTCATAGATAGATAGATAGATAGATAGATAGATAGATAGATAGATAGATAGATAGATAGATAGATAGATAGAATCCTAGAGTTGGAAGGGGCCCCAAAGAAGACCATCTAGTCCAACATTCTGTCATAATAGATAGATAGATAGATAGATAGATAGATAGATAGATAGATAGATAGATAGATAGATAGATAGACAGACAGACAGACAGACAGACAGACAGACAGACAGACAGACATAGTATAGATAGATAGATAGAGTAGATAGAAGACCATCTAGTCCAACTTCATTCTGCCCTAATAGATAGATAGATAGAATCCTAGAGTTGGAAGGGGCCCCAAAGAAGGTCATCTAGTCCAACCTCATTCTGCCATTTTGGTAGAGATAGATATGGTTGGAAGGGGCCTCAAAGAAGACCATCTAGTCCAACCTCATTCTGCCCTAATAGATAGATCAATAGATAGATAGATAGATAGATAGATAGATAGATAGATAGATAGAGATAGATAGATAGATAGATAGATAGATAGATAGATAGATAGATGATAGATAGATAGATAGAGTAGATAGACTTCTAGAGTTGGAAGGGACCCAAAAGAAGGTCATCTAGTCCAACCTCATTCTGTCATAATAGATAGATAGATAGATAGATAGATAGATAGATAGATAGATCTCCTAGAGTTGGAAGGGGCCCCAAAGAAGGTCATCTAGTCCAACCTCATTCTGCCATTATGGGTAGAGATAGATAGGGTTGGAAGGGGTCCCAAAGAAGACCATCTAGTCCAACCTCATTCTGCCCTAATAGATAGATAGATAGACAGATAGAC